TTCACCAAAAAAAAAAAAAGAACGTCAAGAAGGGAGAGGGTTGACATGTTGTGGGGTTGTTAACCAATGTCATAAAACAATACGTGTACTACTGTTTCATGAGAAACTGTTCTGTAAGCCTTCACCTGAAGTACAATTAAAAAAAAAAAAAACTATAGGAATATGCTGAGTATGCCTTTAACAGGACCACACTGTGCTTACTTTGCAGTCATACATCATTTATGTTTCTGCAATTTATATTAAATAAGATTCAAAAATAGGTTATAAGCTTTAAGTCTTTCTGCTACATCTCTTTCCCTGCAGTTGTGTTTGCTGTGTTTGACAAAGTGAAAAATTATGTTTCTCCACTTCAACTTCTCAAGATTAACTGGTTAAAACATACACACATACACAACCCTCTGTGATGAACTAAAAGCTACACACGAAGACAAATACACCATTTTTGTCAAAAACATACCCCCCGGCCAGGGAACAGTAAGTAGTGTGGGGGCTTTTTAAACACATCCAACATTCCTAAGGTCACCCTATTGAGTTAACAGAATAAGAAACTAGCAGGTCTAGGTTTCATTCGACTGGGCCATTACATTGGGCGGCTACGTCATGGCTTAATTTTCCCTTGGAAAACAGTGTACAGTTTGAGAAACCTCTGACAAACTCTCCATTTCTTAGGCGACTGGCAAAGCCAACTGGAAATCAAATACCTAGAAGCCAGGAATCCTGCCCCTCAGAGATAGACTGGCAGAGAGGCAGTGGGGGCTGCTGGTGTGCGTGCCCGGATTCCAGCTGGGCCTTTGACAAGTGCTAGGTGAAGGCTCAGTGTGCCCCCATCCACCAAACGCTCCGCGGGACTAGGGGCCGGCGCTATCAATTTCAAACGTAACCGCCAGGAGGAAGCGGGAGAGGGAGGATGCCATCTCCCCTGACATACATACAGGGATCGGCAGCCCTGTATCGCTCGCCTCTGATGTCCCTGAAGATCAGATGTGGCACCCGCAGTGCCAGTGGCTCACCAATGCCACTTTTCCAGCTAGGGCGGGAGGCGCGGGGCAAAGTTGGCCATCGGCCGCGCACGTCCGGTTAACCGTACCTTGTAACTGGGCTGAGAGGGACTCCTGGTGCTGCTGGTACTTGAGCGCCACCGCCTCGGCTTTACGCAGCTGCGTCTGCAGCTCATAGTAGAGCATCGCGCCGTAGAGAAAGCCGAACACCACGGTCAGCAGGAGCAGCGTCTGGAAGATCCGCTTCTGTTTTCGGGAGCACATCCCGTTTCCCATAGTCCCGCCTGGACCCCGCGCCGCGGCCGCGCCCGCCACCGCCGTCGCCTCCTCGTCGTCCCTTCAGTCCCAGCGAGCGCCTCAGCAGCGGCCGCCGCGGGAGGTGGCCGGACGCAGCATGAGGAACAAATGCGAGACACAAAAGCGGGGCCGGAGGGGAAGTGGTGCCCGCCTAACCCCCGCGCGCCGCGGGGCGCGCAGCCATCGACGTCGCCGGGGCAGGAGCCGCCAAACTTTTCCAAGGCTCACTCGCCGCGACTCCCTGGGCCCGGGAGGGGGCCCTCCGCATACTTCTGAGTGGCTGCTCTTGCGCCTTTCCCCAGACACCGCCTGCCTTTTGCCCTCCTCCCCACTTTTTGGCCCCGCTGTCCCGGCGGCGTTCGGAGTCCCGCCCCGGCCGCTCCCCACCCTCCTTGCGGCGGCTCCCGCCGCGCGACTATGTGCCACCTAAGGGAGGGGTGCGCGCCCAACAAAGGGAACTCGGCTTGGGGCGCCGGGGGCGCCTCCGCGCGCGCAGCCCGTCGGGGTGGTGGATGGGTGGAGGCCGGCTGCCGGGCTGGGCTTGGGGGACAGCGGGCCGGTGTCACTGACCAGGCTGCCCGAGCCTCAGCAGCCGCCGCCTCCCACCGAACTTACGTGTCACCCACTGCCCCGCTATTCTGGCCAACGGGATTCCGGGAGGAAGTCCCACTCCGGCTCCCCGCTCATTGGGCCCGTCCGAGCCGCCGCTCCCTCCCTTCGGGGAGGCTGTGCCGGGCTCGATTGGACGTCGGCTTTGTCCGTCCGACCCCGGCTGCTCCTTCCCTCCCACTGCAGGGGCCGGCGGGGGGTTCCGTGGGCAGCTTGGTCGCCTGGCGCCGGGGTGCGCCCACGCGGTGGGGAGAGGCGGCAGAGCAAGGGGCCAGGAAATTGGGGTGAGCTAGGGACGTATCCTGGCCTGTGTCTGGGTGAGGTGCAGTACGCGCGTGTGAATATGAGAGAGAGAGAGAGAGTGTGAGTGTGTGTGTGTGTGCGTGTGAGTGTGAGTGTGTGAGATCCACCACTCAGAACACACGTGGGGAGAGGAATCCAGAATATAGAGAGAGAAGAGTAAGTAGAAGCAACTGCATACACTGTGCTGAGTACCCGTAATTTCTTTCCCTATACCGTGGGCAGATTCTGCAGCCTCAGGGGATAGCTACATCGTCAGCACAGTCTTTATAGTTGAAGCACAAAAGCCGTACCAATTGAGTCTTGCCCCATTCAGTGTACCAGCCTGGATGTGTGTGTGCCTACAGATGGCACTGCACGAGTCGGGAGACTGAAGCACGCTAGACTCACTGTTCAACCGTCCACGTGGGTTGGGAAGATCAGCTTGCCATTGGCAGAGGGGAAAGAAATGAGCTCATATTTTTCCCCTTGCTGCAAACAGAATAATTTAACAAATCTTACAGGCAAATATAAGTTTGCATTCGTTTTATCATACATATTTGTTTTATCGGTGGCAACAATACATCAGTTACATTTCCAAATTACATTTTAAAGGCCAACAAAGGTTCCCTATGTAAAAACAAGCAGAACAAACTTAATGACCACAAACCCCTTCAAAGAAAATCCACAGTGCATATGCTCTTTCAGTATACTTGAGGAGGGAAAAATTGAGGTTATGCATACACTAGCATGTGTAAATGATAATTATGTTTCTGCCCTTGACCTGAATTCTGAGAAAAGTAAATTATTTCTCAAATGCCACAGTAGTATGTGGAATTTATTATGTAGTCTATAATTTCTATGATATTCTAACTAGATTTTAGTCATCACCATCAATAATCTGTATGGTAGATCAGTTTGGCCAAATACAACATAAAGACAGTTCCTGGTGCAGATTTTTTTTGGGTGGACTGTGAAGTTACAGGCTGGTAAAAGCCATTAAAGAAACAATTTACAACCTAACTAGCCTGTGACATTTAAACTACCATGAAAATTAAGCATGCCTGGCATGTACTTTTCCCTATAAATAACTTACATTATATTGTTCAAAATGCTTTCATTAACAGTTCTGCTGTCTCAGCTAGGTTAGGTATTAGAGTTACATTTTGGTAAATAGAGAAATCAAAGTTTATCAAAGTGGCTGCGAGGACCTGGTTCATGCAGGAAGTTAGGAGCTGAGCAGAGCTAGAATCCAGATCAGAGTTCTGCTCTTTCTACCAATTTTTCCCTCTAGAAGCCAGGTTCCCATTTTATTTAAACAAGTTATATTAGCAAATTTAATCTATTTTGTTAAAATGAGAACCCGACTTATATGATGAAGAACGTGGTATCAGGATTGGAGGAAGACTCATTACCAACCTGATACACAGATGACACAACCCTGCTTGCCGAAAGTGAAGACGACTTGAAGCACTTACTGATGAATTTAAAAGACTACAACCTTCAGGATGCATTATGCCTGACCGTAAAGAAAATGAAAATTCATATAACAGGACCATAAACATCATGATAAATGGCAAAAGAAACTGAAGTTGTCAAGGATTTTATTCTTCTTGGATCAACAATCTATGCCCAAGGAAGCAGCAAACAAGAAATCAAACAACGTATTGCACTGGGCAAATCTACTGCAAAAGATCTCTTCAGAGTCTTAAAAAGCAAAGATGTGACTTTGATGACTAAGGTGAGCCTGACCCAAACCATGGTATTTTTCATGGTTAATGTCAGGTATCAACCTGGCTAGGCTATGATTCTGTGATTTGGCAGACACTATGTAATTATCGGATCCCTGGTGGCACAGTGGTTAAGAGCTGGGCTGCTAACCAAAAGGTCAGCAGTTCGAATCCACCAGGCGCTCCTTGGAAACTCTATGGGGCAGTTCTACCCTGTCCTGTAGGGTCACTGTGAGTCAGACTCGACTCAATGGCAGCGGGTTTGGTTTTTTGGTTAGCAGCCATAGCTCTTAACCACTCTGCCACCAGGGTTTTACTCTGTCCTATAGGGTCGAAATTGACTCAACAGTAACAGGTTTGGGTTTGGGTTTTTTTATGTGATCACCAGGAGCGCTGGTGGCGAAATGGTTAAAATGATAGGCTGCTAACTGAAAGGTCAGCAGTTTGAACCCACCAGCCATTCTGCGGGAGAAAGATGTGGCAGTCTGCTTCCATAAAGATTTCAGCCTTGGAAACCCTATGGGGCAGTTCTACTCTGTCCTATGGGGTCACTATGTGTGGGATCAACTCGATGGCAATGGATTTATGTAATCACCTTCCATTTTGTGATCTGATGTGAGCAGCCAATCAGTTGAAAGGGAAGTTTCCTTGGGTGTGTGGCCTGCCTCCAATATATAAATGGATGTTCTAGCAAAGTTTGCTCAGTCTCTGAGACCCTGTACTCTTCTCATCACCTGACCTCAGGTTTTTGGGATGTAAGCCCACAGATTTTGGGTTTTCCAGCCCTCACAACCCTCTGAGCCAGCAGAGGCCTCCAGCCTGTCACCTAACCTGCAGGTTTTGGGTTCGTCAGCCCCCTGCAACCACGAGAGCCAGCAGAAGCCTTCAGCCTGCCACCTGAGCCATGAATTTGGGACTTGCCACCCCCACAAATGAGTTCGCCATTTCCTTAAAGTAAACCTCTCTATATTTATATATACATTTCACTGGTTTTGCTCCGGTAGGGAACCCAGACTAAGACAATATTTTCAATTGTTTCATATGTATGCAAAAGCTGAACAATGAAAAAAAGAAAATAGAAGAATTTACATATTCAGATTGTGATGCTGAATATACCATGGACTGCCAGGAGAACGAACAAATCTATCTTAGAGGAAATACAGCCAGAATGCTTCTTCAAGCAAGGATGGTAAGACTTCATCTCGCTTACTTTGGACATGTCATCAGGAAGAACCAATCACTAGAGAAAGACATCATGCTTGGTAAAGTAGAGAGTCAAGGAAAAAGAGGGAGTCCTCAATGAGATGGATTGACACAATGGCTGCAACAGTGGTCTCAAGCGTATAGCAAAGACTGAAAGGCAACATTTTGTTGCATTATACGTAAGGGTCATTATGAGTTGGAGCCAAGTTGATGATACCTAACAACAACAACAATTTGAAAAAATAAACTAAAGAAGTTTAGGGCTTTTGTTTTGTGTTGTAAATGCCATATAGCCTTACTTGTTGAATCTACCACTGTTTAAATTTCTGCTTTTCAGTTTGACTCTTATAAATTGAGACTGGACAATTACTACAACCCCTTTAGAATTCCTCATAACTAAACATTACTTACCATTGTCTTTATAAAATTTACTAAACAATCCTTTCTTTCAAAAACTACCAAAAATATTTTGGAAATGAAGTTTTACAACAATCCTGGCCCATATTTTAGAAAATTATCATAGCCACAAAAGGAAAAAGAAACGTCTATCCAAAAAAAACCAAACCCTCTGCCGCCAAGTCGATTCCTACTCAAAGCGACCGTATAGAAGAGACTAGAGCTGCCCCATGGGGTTTCCAAGGCTGTAAATCTTTACAGAAGCAGACTGCCACATCTTTTTCCTGTGGAGGGCTAGTGGTTTCAAACCACTGACCTTCTGGTTAGCAGCTGAGCACTTAACCACTGTGCCACCAGGGTTCCTAAAATGTCGATAGAGGGTTGGAAAATTATGGTTTGTATGTGACACAGTATGCAGTGTGTAGTTGTATTTCAGAATCTTTGGAAAATTCTTATGCTTTCTGAACACACGATTATTCATTTTAAACCTCTGATTCCTTAGCATCTGATTCCAGACTCCAAAGGTATTCTTTGCCTAGAGCTGTTGACTGACTCTACAGAATATAATAAATGTAGGCCATAAAACACAACTCAATATTTTAGTCATAAAACTTGAAAGAGAGCAAAGGTTATTACCTGAGCTTATCCATTATTTCAAATTCAAGAAAGGTATGTAGAAGTACATAAAATCACTAATGGCAGTGTCTTTATAATATTAAATTTCCAAGGTGAAGTATGCTGCTAGTTTCTTGAAAATACCTGTATAGTGCTTTTGAGAGGCCAACATTGGAGAAGCTATCCATAGCCTATAAATTGAATTTACATAACATTGCCTTTGGGTAGAGATCGTAATATGTGAGTTATTTATATGAGTCTTGGTAGGTCTGTCATTAAACCAAA